GAGAGATAGAGAGATAGATAGATAGAAGATAGATAGATGATAGATAGATGATAGATAAATAGACACACAGACAGAGAGATGATGATGATAGATAGATGATAGATAGATGATAGAGATAGATAGATGATAGATAGATAGATGATAGATATAGATTATGATATAGATAGATAGATAGATAGATAAGATAGATAGATAGATAGATAGATAGATAAGATAGATAGATAGATAGATGATTGATAGACAGATGATAGATAGATAGATGATAGATAGATGAAAGAAAGATGGATAGATGATAGATGATAGATAGATAGATAGATAGATAGATAGATAGATAGATAGATAGATGATAGATACAGAAAAGACAGGACTGGAGTGATGACTACGTCAGTAAAGTGCTTATCATATAAGCATAAGGACCTAAGTTTAATCCCTTGTACCCACACCAAAAGCCAGGTGCAGCATGCACACTGATAACCGCAGCCCTGGAGAGGCAGAGACAGGAGGCTCCCTGGAGCTCATTGGCCAGGCAGTCTAGCTGAACTGATGAGCTCCAAGTTCAGTGAGAGACTTTGTCTCAAAAAATAAGATGGAAGGTAATTAAGGAAACCACCCAACACTGACCTCTACATTTGTATGTACACACACATACACACACACACACACACACACACACACACACACACACACAGAGGAAAAAAGAGAAAGGTCAAGCCGATAAGCCACAAAACTGCAGTCGCAGTGAATGCAGCTAGCCCTCTTGACTTCCAAATGCCATTCTTCAATAAAGAACACAAAAGCTCCTTGAAGTAGTTAAACTGCTTCATGTAATCTCAGCTACTCAGGAGACTGAAGCTGGAAGATCCAATGTTCAAGGCCAGCCTGGGCTACAGAATGAGTTCAAGGTCAGCCTGAGCAACTTAGTGAGCTCCTGTCTCACAAAGTAAAGGGAGGACTGGGGTTCACCTCAGTGTCCGAGCACTTGCCTCCCAGGCTCTGAATTCAATCCCTAACACCACAAAGAGAGGGAAGAAATTGGGGAGACAGAGAGGGGCTGGGGCAGAAAAACGACTAGGTAAGCCTGAACATCTTGTGGTTCTAGAAAGCAAGGATGTGCTTAATAAAAATTACAGGAACATGTTAGAAAGATGCAGAGCTACTCCCAAGGAGCTTCTATTAGGATAATCTAAAATAATGTAAGAAACAAAATAAAGGAGGGTGCTGTATTACACTCTTGTAGAACAAAATTATACCCTGAATCCATACCGATAAAAATAAATGAAAAAGTAAATGCAGGTGAAAGGGCAGTTTTTTTTTTCTTAGAGTAGAATTCTAATTAATTCTGTGGAAATAATGTTGGAAATAGGAAAACACCTTCAGAAAACATCACAGCAATGACGACTGCAGACCAGAATCATCAGTGGATGCTAAAATTAGTAGGTAAAAGGATGATGGGAAGTAAGATATTCGCATAGTCTCCTAATGTTTTCCTGCGAGAACTTACGAATTACAGATGGGCAGGAGAAAATAGTAGTTTCACTGTGGGGATCTGGCAGATACCAACTCAACCAAGTACCAGAGATTAATTAATACTCCCCAAAGCAAGACAGAACTGTATCTTGTGCCCTCTGAGGGGATGCTGAGGAGGGTACAGCCTTGCCTCTCAGGCAGTCGTTCCTACAGTGAATCACAGTAATATAATCATGAAAAAGCATCAGCAGCTAAACAGAGATGTTCCACAGAACAGCCAGCCAATGCTTTTCTAGTGTCCAGATTTGAAAGACTAAGGAGCTGGTTGAAGGACACTAAAGATATAGGACTCTTTGTGCAATTCAAGATCCCGAATTCAACCCTAAACCAGAAGGGGGAATTGTGGGAGGTATGAATGATTCCTAGGTAGTGTTGAATTCATGTTAATGATTTACTTTAGGAAATCGTAGCTCGATTATGTAAAACGTTAAGATTAGCAAAAGCTGAGTGGAGAACATATTAAAACTCATTACACTTATTTTTGTAACTTTACTAAATCTACAATTAGAAAAAGTTAAAATGAGGAGAAAGACAAAGGAAGTCATAAAGTTATATTGAAATTATCTATGTAAACAAAGTT